GTGGGCGGTGCATTGTTATCTCAATCACCTGCTAATTCGTTTTACACCACTGGACGACAGGAGAATGTGACTGTACTGTATCTGTACAGAATGTGTGTTTCAATCAATAGAGTAACTGATTAAAATCGCAATCGTGTGTTTAATTAAATGCCTTTTTTGATTCACAATCTGAAAATGATAACCACGGTAAAGTCACCTTGAATTTAAAAAAACGATTTTGGCACGCCTGTAGCATTTTCATGAAACCTCCTAGAGTTGCGAGAACACTAGCTTTGTGTATAAAGTACATTGTGAATGTTTTCACAGCCTTTACTTTGTCGTTTTTATGCCATTTATTTGACCACACACGAATATTCCTTTGTCCGTATCTTCGCAAGGGAATCAGTGTGAATTTTAATACTAATTAAATGACCACGGGCACTTTCCACCCCCTCTACATTCTCAGAGTAGAACAGACTAACCTTCTAATGAAAGACAGTCCATCCCCACGGACAGGAAAAGTGCCCACAGGCACTTAAACTTAATATGGTCAGTAACAGTAAACAGTAACATGGTCAGAAGGAGCACGTACAAACGTTTCCGAAATAACCACATGTAAGACTCTGATGCTTAAAATGTTTAGGGAGAAAGTGGAATACTGGTGTGTATTTTTTCTTTATACTACCAATAACAGCCATATAGAGTCTGTAACATTAGTGACAAAGGCTAAACTTTTAGCTTCAGTAACGCATACATATCTCTCCTTTTTATAAAACGACATGGTTGAAAACTGTTCCAGAGCCACTGTCATTTCACCAGTGAAAAGTACATCATGAAATGCCTCTCCCTGTTCAATCCACTGGAAAAAAGAAAAGGAGCATAAAGCGTCTGATGGTCATAAACATATTCATTTAGGAACGGCATCAGAGATATGTTTTTAACTGCACTGCATCAGAGAGAATACCATAGTGTGTTTTTTTTTTTTACTCCCTGGCGGAAACTGGCTTCCATAAGAATCAGTATGGCTCAGAGATTAAATAAAACTTCACTCGCATCAAACAAATGTATATTTCTAAATATCACTACATGATTGAATTTAAGTCATTTTAATAACAATGAATAGTCACCTATGCGTTACAATATAAACATTTATATTGATTTAAATCGCGTTTAAATCACCTTTATTTAAAACCCATAAATAAAGCTGATACTGTTTAGACTTTTAATTATTTAAAACTGTATTACAGCAGCACAATGCACAATGCAACGTAAATCGCTATCTTTGTCTTCTGTGTAATAACGTTCACCTCTCTGTCCAGCAAATTAACAATAGTAATAATAATGAACTTTATTGTATATGACGCCTTTAAAGGTGGCTCCTCAAAGCGCTTTACAGGTTAAAAACAATAACAACAATACTGTTAGGGTGGGCAAACTATTTTTTTTTAAGAAATACAAAATGAGATATAATGATGTGTTCCGACTTAGACATTAACGAAGAGCATTACACGTGTACTGTATACACTGCAAGTACAACCCCCCTCTCTGAGGGAGTGCTGGCTGTGACGAATTAAACCGGTTTCCAGGTATTTTCAAAGAAGAAGGGGGCTAGATTTCCAGCGAAAGACACCTCCCCCCCTCAAAAACCCAGTAAGTACAGTACTTACTAGTTAAGAAAGCTAGGCTCCTCAATGCTAATGCGTTGGTGTAACAGTCCGGGCGTGGCAAGCTTCTAATGTCAACTCGACTACGGCGAAAGGAACCCTTCTTTCATTGGAAGACAATGAACATATTCTAGCCCTAAATGAATAAATAGTAAACATGGTTTACATAAAAGAAATTTTTCCAAGAAAGTTTAGCCTTTGTCACTAATGAAACCACTAAACAAAGACAAATATATAAATCTTAAGATTTTTTAAAATACATGACTTTGCTAAAATTTATTTAAAAATAAAAAACGAGTACAAACGCCAGCGGAGAGAGAGAACAGGGGAAGGATGTTGGTTTTGCATTAAGGGGCTATGGAAATGAGGTATTTTTGGAAATGTGGAGTTACATGTTCTGGCTGTTTGTGAATTATCGTTGTTGGGTATGGAGTGTTGAGGTATTGATTTTGTGTAACGCTTTATGTTGAAAATTGAGGTGGATTTTGTTTATAATAAAGAGGATAAACTGGGATGGAAGGAGGGTTTGGTTTTGGATAAGGGGCGGGATTATGATAATCAGAGGAATTTGAGAGAGTTTAATGGTTTGATATATTTGATTTTGTATTGTGGTTGATATCTATGTTTTTGGTTGGTATTATGTTTATATGGTTGTTTTTCTTGGTTGGTCGTTATTAATAATACGATCTATAGTTGAAATCTGAGCCTAAATAAAAAGAAAAAGCATTTTCAGAGAGCAATTACGCTGTGTTTATGTAGAATAAGTGATTAGGTTTATGAGCAATCTAATTACTTATTCGTTTAAAACGCTATATAAAATAAAGTTTATTATTAATTTGCTGGACAGAGTGGTGAACATTATTATGCATAAGACAAAGATAACGATCCTGATCAGTTTAGAAATCTGTGTATGCTGTAAGGTTTTTACTTCTTAAACTTTTAAAATACACATTTCGAATAGAAAGAAATCCTCTTCCTGGTACATTATGTATAGCAAACCAGCACGTCTTTTTTCTCCAATCAGAGGGGTGTCAGATGGTGTCAGCCAACCACCATAATGTGGGTTTTGTAAACAAGGCCTACTCTCTTTTTTAATTTAATATTTAAAATACAGTTATACACAGTTTAAAATTAATTGGTGTCTAATCAGCATACAACTTAAACTCTATAATTGGAAAATGTTTGTCCCTCAGCACTGACTGGGATCAAAACCAGGTGACAGTGTTTTCTTGAAACAGCCCAAATGCTTCCTCACGCCACGTTAAAACTTTCACTGCTCCATTCGGCAGTTTTACAATGTAGAGCAGTCCTACAACTGTATATTTTTAAAAACGTGCAGTAAACTAGCATTATCCACCTTGCATTCTGAATGGATGGATCTGTAAAATGGGTACTGCACACACTCAAAGCAAAAAAGGAAGTAAACAGATAAGAAAGAAAAAAAAGTTATGACTGCATGCGTATTCACACCCCCTGCTGTGGCAAACCTACATAAAATTAACAAGTCTTACAATTAATTAAGATAAGGGGCCTCTGTGTGTAATAATTGTGGTTCTCATCATTTGAGGAAAAAAAAACAGATTCACGGATCTGTAATGCTATTTTATATAATTAACATAATTCTTTATTTTTCTTAAGTTTCTGCTGACACTTTACCTATCTTACCCCTTAGAAGTTTTCATTTTGAGCATGGTTTGCAAAAATGCAGCATGTCTCAAAAAATGCACTGTTTAAGAAGCATAGGAAAATCTTGCACAGGCAAGTCCATTCATTTCCAGATAGTTCAGCATTGCAACCTGCGGGATCCCAGTTTGACCTGGCATAGTATATTGTATTCCCCAAAAAGGAGATGTCTGGACTACAAGCATCAACCCACATTTTAAATGGGTACCATTAGTGGCTAAGCCAATGGAGATTTTGCATTTAAATGACTTAAGACAAAAAAGTTATAAGAAAAATAAATTATTACAATGTTATGTATCTAGTAGTAATAAACACTATGGCCATAGTCATATTTTAATGTCTTAATCTATAAATTCTAAAATACTGAAACCTTCAAATTCAGATCTCATTTTCCCTTTGAATCATCCTAAGAAAAGGCAGCAGAATTTGTATTATTAATAATAGGCCTTTTGACAAAAGAAATAAAGAAGTTAACAAAGAACAAAAACAGTGTAATTTTTAACTTTTTGCTTTCACTAGCTATCAGAATAACAAAGAATAAAGTTACTTTTCAAACTTCTTCGGACACATCTCCTTTATATCTTGGAAAGCAGCTTCCAGTCTCATGTTTTGCAGGCGGTTTACACATTGTTCAACCTGAAGCAAAAAACAAAGAACTAAACTTTTGGATAGAATTCCTACATACCAACAGAAAACTGGCTACCTTGATAGACTTAGGCTAAATCTATGGGACCATTTATTGAAAAGCTTTTAGACATACTAAATACATCTGTTAATAAGTTATGCTTCAAAAACTTTATAAAAACCTTATGAAAAAATTAAATAAGAAATATTTATTAAACCTATATTAACTCTTTATAAATAATGAAACATAGATATTGCTAGTTTATACTTATGAAAACATACATAGTTCAGCCTGGGCAAAACCTTTTTTATACAACTTGACCCCGCCACACAAAAGGAAAAACACTTCTCACCTGTTTAAAGGCCCGGTAAGGTTTGTGCTGACGCAGTCTGTGGTGGAAGACATATAGAAGTGCATTCATAATTCGAATTTCCGTCTGCAGGACTTTACTCTTCAACAATATCAATACCTTTTCACATTCTTCGAGAAAGCACCTCAGATGGAGTTCTGTAAATCACAAAATGAAAACTTACTGTAAACTTTTTAATATTCACTACCAACATTGTACTGCATTTATGTTGAAAGAGTTGGACTGTAAAAAGTAATCGTGATATAATATAACTTCTCACCAACTTTTCAAATTTCATATTGCATACATATTCTGGGATCTTTTATCTGTTATACTAAACCATGTACCAAAAGTAGTGTCATCCACAAACGCTTTGAGACATAACTTTTAACTCATCTTAAATTCTGTGAACAAGAGATGTGCAACACCATACATAAAAATAATGTTTTTATTTATTATTGATCTAAAAGGAGGCTCTGGTCCTATTGGACCCCTGCAACTCCTGATTGGCATTACATCTCGGCCCTTAAACTCTCAGGTCTTGATGTAAACAATACCATAACTAAAATACTTTATTTATAACAACATCAGCACACTGGACACTATCCAGTTTCTCTTCAACTTGCAAATTAAGAAGTTTCTCCATTGTTTTAGTCTAAAAAGCACCGATTCGTTGCTTTGTCAAGGACAGACAGATGGGACAGATAATATTAACAAACACTCCCACTCCTGCTTAACCTTTGCTTTACATTTCGGCTAACACTGGAATGGGGGGCAGCACTGAAACTCACTATTTGGAAAACGGCATATACAAATGATAAAATCCATCCACAATATTTAAGAGATGAAAACAATCAAGCCTCAAACACAAAATTCTAATAAATCAGCTTTTGATTACAGACCAGAACCACGATTGAAAACCAATGTTGTAAAATCTTACAGGTAAATACGAGAATTTACTACGTTTTATTGACCTCATCTAAAACAAATGTTTCGATTTGTACCTAATTCACTAAACGTTATTTACTTTATATTCCCATGGACTAAACATGTCCTTCGTGTCCTGTGCAGTACCTACAAATACGATGGCGTGATACGGTTTTTACTAAACAAAAAAGTAAAATGAACGCCAGAAGGTGATCCCGGAGACTCCACATATTCGTGTATTAGGTTTGTTCTAAATTATATTCTAAAACTTCTAAAAAAAGTGGATTAAATGAATGCTCGTGCAAAATTAGAAGCATGGTACTGAACACCACGTCCATCCACGTGGGTGCACCAAGATATACAGTTTTTATGCTGCGGAGTGAGTAGCAGTTACCTTTTCGTAAACCCGGTAGTTTTTAATTATAAATTCATTTTCCACTTACCCATACAACCATCAGAACGAATTTCCACTGTAGATATTACGCTGGGAAAAGCAATATCCAGTTTATTCCACGGCTCCATAGCAATTTTTCAGGAAACCGTGCTATGCTGTAAAATTAACCAAACATACGCCTCGGCGTCACGAATCCTTGAGCTGTCTGATAAACCAATGAAAGAAAGACCTCAAGAAAAGGGCGTTTTTGACGTTAGTTTCCTCCTATCAGCAGTAAAAGATCAAGCAAGTAATTTAAATTTAAAATACAGTGTCCGGTGATAATTGCTAAACAAAAGGGAAATATAAACCTGCAATACTTAAAACCTTAAGATTTTTAAACTACACTTTTAAATAAAATAGGTGTCAGAAAATACGTTCTCTGAGCACAACCTATGTGTACATTTTGGTTTCAGTTTCATGAACCTATACAGACAATGTCTTTAATAAGTCCAGATGTTATATCAGTCTATTTTCCACAACTGGCAGCCCACGGCAGCTAAGAAGGTGTGAGCTCGGTCAGTACCTGGACGAGAAATCTCCCGGGAAAGTTAAGGTTGCTTTTTGTAGTTAGTGGAACCAGTAGGGTGCACTCATTCTGTCCCGGTATATTAACAGGGACATTATACCAAAAATAAACACGCCGTCTTTCGGATAAGTCCTGACTCTCTGTGGTTATTAAAAAGTCCTTTCTTGAAAAGAGAAGGGGTGTTAACACCAGTGTCCTAGCCACATTTCCCCATTGGCCTTTACCAGTCATTGCCTCTTAATAATCCCAATATTGGTTGTGGTGGAGGGGAGTCCCCATTGTCTGCGAAGTGGTTTGAGGTTTGGAATGCCCAATTGAATTATACTTGTGTGCTATGTATTTGTAAATAATTTTATTATTATTATTATTAATCCTCATTATTGATTCACATTTGAATCAGGTTAGGCACATCACATGCACTGTTTGGTGAAAATATGTTATACATTCTTGTGATACAGTATATTGTGACTCCTATTGTTGCTTGCAATGGGCCTTTTACAAAGGCTGAGGACATAACACCCTGCCTGAAATGGCTCTTGTTAATGTTTGGATAGTAACAGTTTAAGAGGCAGGCAGGAGGAAAATGGACACACAACAGGGGTTCCCCCATCCATGTCAATGGTTGAAATGTAAATAATTGTACATTCTGAAAGACAGAAGTATAGAAATGAGAGTGCATGTAACATGTATTGCATGTAATCTTGTACTGTACTGAATATAGAGCTGTAATAAAATTTCTGTTTGCAAAGAAAACACATTCTTGTGGATTCTTATGGGGTGTTTGAATTAAATTGGGGAACAATTCAGAACAATTCTCTATTCTACTACACACAAAAGTATCCCTATAACACAATAATTTCTATAACTGTCTACCCAACACACAAAACACGTAATACAACTCATCCACCAGAGGTACTTCTTAAATGACAGAACAGTACAAAAAAACTCCATGGGCCCCAGTTACCAAAACTAATGTCCCAAAGGGCAAGTCCAGCAGCATTTTTCTCTAAAAAAAATCAGTAACCTGGTGTTCCTTTTACCATCACATCAAAGGAAAGTGATGAAACTCTGTGCAGTCCTTCAGTGATTCTTAGGTACCCAGCATCTATGTTAAGAGGGCCTTTGAGGAAGGCAGGAAATGCAGAGGACAGGGCACGAAACTGGATCAACACTAAATAACTGTGTGGTAAAGTGATATATACTGTACATTAATAAATGTATATTATTTGGAATTACAAGTAATAGATGGCTCTCCCCCATTTTCCTAAGTTGTAGGAGTCACACTCCAGCAGCATTTTTCTCTAAAAAAATCAGTAACCTGGTGTTCCTTTTACCATCACATCAAAGGAAAGTGATGAAACTCTGTGCAGTCCTCCAGTGATTCTTAGGTATCTTCTCTGGTCCTGACTGTCTTCAGCAACATGTTTCCTCAATTACCTTGATTCCTCTGTATTGAATGTGAGATAGTGGGGAAGGAGATTAAGCTGGAATATTCCTCAGCTGCTCCTTGTAGTGTCCCTGGTATCATAGTCCTCTCCTGGGTCCAATGCTGTAATCTCTCCCGCAAACCTTTCTACTTCCATAGGGGATTTTGTTTTGTCCTGACTGGTGCTTTTCAAGGCTTCTAAACAAATGCTTTTGACTCTTTCTGCAGGGCTTGTTCAGGAGGGCTATACACAGATGGCCTAGTGTAATGATGCTTTGTTCCATAGCACCCTGTCCTTCCTCTTAAGATAAGATAATATCACTTTATTGGTTATATAACATTTCTTGTATAAGGAATTTGTCTTTTCCCATACCCAAACTTGACTTGGGGTCAGAGCGCAGGATCAGCCATTTAAATGGCCCTCCTGGAGCAGTTGAGCTTAAAGGCCTTGCTTAGGGGCCCAACAGAGTAGGATTCCTCTGCCAGCCATGGGATACAAACTGGCAAACTTCCAGCCACAGGCACAGATTCTTATCCACAGAGCTGCCGCACCCCCTCTTAATCACAGGTCCAGTCAAATCTGTTAAAAATCCCACTGAATTGTGTGGTAGGTACCCAGCATCTATGTTAAGAGGCCCTTTGAGGAAGGCAGGAAATGCAGAGGACAGGGCACGAAACTGGATCAACACTAAATAACTGTGTGGTAAAGTGATATATACTGTACATTAATAAATGTATATTATTTGGAATTACAAGTAATAGATGGCTCTCCCCCATTTTCCTAAGTTGTAGGAGTCACCCGGCTGTTATAGTTTTGGTGCCAGAAAGCAAAGGCGAAAACCGAAAAGAACTGGGGAGCTTGAAGACAGCTGAAGAAAGCTAGCGTGAGAGTAAGATATTGGATCGGTAGTGTAATGTTCTGTACAACCAAACTTTACTTTCTTATACAGAAGAGGTGTTAGTGAGGCCAGCAGGGGTGCTCACCCTGCAGTCCATGTGGGTCCTAATGCCGCAGTATAGTGAGGGGGACACTATACTGTAAACAAGCGCCGTCTTTCGGATGAGATGTAAAACCGAGGTCCTGACTCTCTGTGGTCATTAAAAATCTCAGGGTGTTTCTCAAAAAGAGCAGGGGTGTAACACCAGGGTCCAGGCCAAATTTCCCATGCCTCCTAATAATCCCCCTCTATGAATTGAATTAGCTACTTTATTTTGTTCTCCCCCACCTCTGATGGCAGGCGACGCGCCGGTCGGAGTATTCTCGGTCGCATTTAATGGCAACGTCAGCTCAAAGATTTGGTTCAAACCACCAAAGGGAGACGGGCGTGCCGATAAGCGAACCCTGCTGATGTGGGATTAATGCTAGGATGAGAGAGAGACATGTTTAGTACACCATCTTGTGCGATAAACCCTCCACCTTCAGGGTGATAAAATAAGTGTTAATACTTTTTGGACAATCGGACACAAAAGACTTGACTGAAAATTCCAAACCAGGAAGTCCCAAGTGAGCCCTCATAATCACAGGACCATTCCCCTTCAGCTGTCAATTAGGCTGTCACTAATGGCTCCTGGCAAAGCCCCAAGTGGTGCTTTTGTGTGGCAAAGACAGTAAACACTATCAAGTTAAAGTCCACTGATCTCTGGTAAATCTTAGTTAACAGTTAGCCAACTTGGTCAACTTGGAGAATTCCTTTCACAGCATGCAAAATGCAAAGGCAAGAAATGGCAATGTCTGTATTATAGCACTCTTGCAGAGCTTTGAAGTAAGTGCTTTTTAGTGGTTGGGCCCACGGTGTCATGAACAGCTCTTTCCGGGCCCTATGCAGATGACACAATCTGGAATAGTAAGGAAAGAAAGCTCTAAACAAAAAAAAATAAATAAAAAAGGATGAAGTCCAGGCTGCCAGTGTGCCATCTGCGGGGCCTGGGTATTGGCTCTACATTCTGTTACGAACAGTTCTTTCCGGGCCCTATGCAGATGACACAATCTGGAATAGTAAGGAAAGAAAGCTCTAAACAAAAAAAAATAAATAAAAAAGGATGAAGTCCAGGCTGCCAGTGTGCCATCTGCGGGGCCTGGGTATTGGCTCTACATTCTGTTACGAACAGTTCTTTCCGGGCCCTATGCAGACAACACAATCCGGAATAGTGAGGAAACACTGGGGGAAAAGTCATGCAGGAGACGGGAATGGAGACGGGGGCGTGTCCTTGGTGTGCAGGTGTCCATGGGGAGTGAGTCCGGGGCGAACAATCCAAGAAGAAATCCAAAGGGGGAATCAAAAACACAGGCATAAGTCCATGGCCAGGCGATCCATCCAGAAGATTAAAAATGGGAACCGGGTTGGGACCAGCCAGGGGAACAGGAGCTGAAAGTTAAAAACATAACGGAGCCAGACGCAGCAGGACCCAGGCACACATGAAACGGGATTCAATGTAGAGCCTCGAATGACGTGAGCGCCTGGCTTTTAAGGCGGACTGAAAGGGGGTTAGAATAAGGAACAGGTGCGGGGAATGAGGCTGAATGGGGATGAACTCGAGCGCCCTTAAGAAGTGGAGTAGCGATCGTGACAGGACCCCCCACCTTTCCAGGGTGGCTCTGAAGCCCTAAACAAAAACAAAAAATAAAAAAGGATGAAGTCCAGGCTGCCAGTGTGCCATGTGCGGGGCCTGGGTATTGGCTCTACATTCTTTCACAAACAGTTCTTTCCGGGCCCTATGCAGATGACACAATCTGGAATAGTGAGGAAACAAGGGGGGAAAAGTCATGCAGGAGATGGGAATGGAGACAGGGGGCGTGTCCTTGGTGTGCAGGTGTCCAGGGGGAGTGAGTCCGGGGCGAACAATCCAAGAGGAAGTCCAAACAGGGAATCCAAAACACAAGCATAAGTCCAGGGCCAGGCGATCCATCCAGTAGAATAAAAACAGGAACCGGGTCGGGACCGGCCGGGGGAACAGGAACAGAAAGTTAAAAACATGACGGAGCCAGATGCAGCAGGACCCGGGCTCACATGAAATGGGATTCAATGTAGAGCCCCGAATGAAGTAATTGTCTGGCTTATAAAGGGGGAACTGAAAAGGGGCTGGAATAAGGAACAGGTGTGGGGAATGAGGCAGAATGAGAAAGGGCTGGAGCACCCTTAAGAGGAGGAGTAGTGATCGTGATACAGGGGGAGCCATGCAAAGGTAATTTAAAGGGACCCATATATTTTCAAAAATCCAGGTGGAGATCTATCTGTAGCTTGCATAGGCTATCACTCTATTTTGATTTTTCTAGTAAAATACGTAACAGTACAACATCACAGAAGTATGAACTATGGAATTTACACATGCTTTTGAACCCACATCAGAACCTGAGTGTTCATTTCATCCTGCACTTCTTCCTCACGTCATCCTTTTACCACTAAGCCATGGTTAGCTCCATCAATCCAGTGAATGTAGGCTGGTGCTTTCATTTTTCTTACTACACTCTCAAGCAAGCCCTAGAAAAAAATAAGGTTGTTTTGATTATCTGGATTCAATGTTATGAAGGAAAAACTACAGGAAAATATATTCTGGGTGGACATATTTTCAATATTAATTATTTTTAACATTACTGGAATAGTTAGATGACTATTTGCAGATCCACCAAACTATGGAGAAAATCTCAGAGCCATGCCGTCTGGACCAATCCTAGTGTAAGAAGATAACCACAGAACAGTAAATCATGTTGCTTCTTTTAAACTTCCCAACTCAAAGATCTTCACAATAAAGTGTAATCATTTAAGAAATGCAAAACTAATCCTGAGTCAAAGTACTAAGCATCAGTAAGCATTAAGCATTAGTACTAAGCATTATCAGAAACCACTATGCTCAGCCAGTACCATATATCATCATTGCTCCATGTTCTTTTATGTTGTGTATAATGCACTATATATTTTAATTCTGGACAAACTTAATAATTTCTTTTTGTTGTTTTATACACAATGTATTTGCATCCACGTTCTAACGGCTTCTTCCAATTCATGGTCATGGGGGAGCTGGAGCCTACCCTGGCAAGCAATACCATAGACGGGATGCTAGTCCATCATAAGGCAGGCACATAGACACAGACACGCACACACTCACACCAAGAGCTAATTTTCCGAAAAGCTAGTTAACCTACCAGTATGTGTTTGGACCGTGGGAGGAAAACTGAGCGTCCAGAAGAAGCCCATTAGAAAATGGGACAACATACAATAGAACCCCAGGTACAGAATTGAACCCAGGGCCCTAGTGCTCTGTGGCAGCAATGCTATGCACTGCACCACAGTGCCACCTAATGCAATTAATTAGGGTGTATTAAAAAATAAACAACCATTGACTGACTAGACCAAAAACAGGTTGGGTCTGGGTTATAGTGCATTACACCTTTATCTATGAATTCCTGTAGTAATCCATTATAGTAACAGTGTTACACACTATAGCTCAGTGAAGATACAGATAAATGTATGTAAATTATTCAGAGTTTTTTTTTTGCCACGGTGGTCTATTGATGCATTATACCTCTGTTAAAATTAGGAATTGATCAATACCCTGAAACTGAAATTCAATGGAGTAGTAATGTATTCGTAGTCAAGTTTAACTGCTACCAATGAAAACCTGTAATCTCCACATGAAAAACTCATGTCATTCAGAAATCTAGGTAGAACAGTGTGTTAGGTTCTACTGAACTACTGTTTATGCACTGGAAAACAAAAAAAGTATTCTAATTAACAAAATGCATGTGGTTATAGAACTAAAGATATGGAGGAATCATATTTTAAATCATAAACTGCTTGCTTACCTCCAACAAAAAAAAAAAAACACTTACTGTGTATTTCTTCAAATTCTTCAGGTATTCCTACAGTACAAAATTAATCACATATCAAATCTTTAAAACAATCGTATCAATGAGTAAAGCTTACATTATTATATTTTGCAAATATATTTTCTTCACAAACTTTCAAAGGAAACTGTAAAAGTAGTTTATAAGAAGATTAATCCAAGTGAATGCAAAGGACAGCACTGAACAGTATGCTAAGCACTGCAACATTCTATTGTTACAATATGGAATCATAATGTATTGGGTTTTTTTGCCATTGCGTAACACAAAACACCCTGTAATGTCAAAGTGAAAACAAACTTATACATGTCTCCCCAAATTAATTATAAATATAAACAGAAAATTACTGACTGGCTTTAGTGCAGCCAACTGTCTTTAGAAATCACACAATTAGTTGAGGAGTCAACCTGTGGGCAATTATGATGTTTTGCATATGTTATTAAATATTAAATACTCCTATCTCTGGGAGATCCCATAGTCGATTAGTACAACTCCCAGCATAAAGTACATCATAAAGCAAATATAGGATAGTTATTTGCGCTTTCCAATCAGGGGAAGGATATAAGAAAGTTTCCAAGGCACTGAATATCATCCAAAGTCCATTATGAAGAAATGAAGAAAATATGGCACAACTATGAATCTGTGTAGATCAGAATGTCCTACAAAAATGAGTATTCCGGTGAGAAGGACATTAATCAGGTAGCCCACCATGAGGGCGTATCACAACTCTAAAGGAATTACAGTCTTCCACATCTGAGATGGGAGAAACTGTGAATACAGCAATTGCTTGGGTGGTTCACAAATCTGGGCTTCATGGTAGAATGGCAAAACAAAATAAATTGTTGAAAAAACTCTTGACTACACTTTGGCAGAAGGCATGAGGGGGATTCCTAAACCAAGTGAAAGATATTTTATAGTCTGATGAGACCATAATTGACCTTTTTAGCCCCAATGCTAAGTGCTCAATATGTTTGGAGCAAGTGTAACGCTGCACATCTTTCCAGAGAACACTATCCCAACTGTGAAACATGGTGATGGCAGAATCATGGTATGGGAATACTTCACTGCATCACGGCAAAATGTTACAATTAAATTAAATTTAATATATTATAATTCCAAATTGTAACACAATAAAATGTGAAAAAGTCCAAGGAGGTTAAATATAATAGCCACTGTACATTTGGCAGGATTTACCTTTCAGGAAGAAACAGAATATACATTACTGAATTATACCACAATTATAAGAAAATAACTGCAAACTATTGGCCCTTCTACAGTAGGCGGTTTGGTTGCTAGACCAGGATAGTCAGCTAATTAATCCAAGGCTTTCATTCTGTCATTTCTTGAAAGAAGCCAGGGTACCAGCTTTGACAATATGGCTGGGTAGCTTGTTCCAAACTTCTACAACACTGTGTGGTCAAAAATATCTCAATTACTCCTTTCAATACACATTATTCATGGACATTTGTTTGAGCCTGAAAAACACCTAAGTGATCTTCTCAGGGGTGATTTCAAAGTGTTTTTTTGTATCATGGTTACTGTAATTATAGAAACCATTCTAAATTAAATCTTATTAGTGCATTGTACAGTTTTAACATACTGTAATATCTGAAAGTCCTAACTGAAGTTCACACTTCTAACCATGTATCTGTATTTGTATTTGTATTAGCCATCTTAGGAATGAATGCAAAGAGTTAAATATTTTTGATGAGTGATATGGCATTGGTGGAACAATCACTTGTTAAACCAGATTTATCATGTTATTTCATTCAGATAACATTCAGAGTTTACTGGAATCATTAAATGTTGTATTCTCTCTAGGAACAACCTTCAGAATTCATATTTTAGCTTGTAGGAAGAATATCAATAAGGTAAATTTATATAAAGAGAGGCTGGTAATTAGCTGGCTGAATCAGGGTTGTGATAAGAATGTAGGTAGAAAAGCTTTGTGTCTCACTGTTTTGATGACTTGGTCTGTATCTCCTGTCGTGGAAATGTACCTATTAAGGAAGCCACAAGAGAGAGTTCTCACCTGAGAAAGGTCTTTATTTCAATATTGTAATATTGGGAGCCCTGTTGCCACTTTGCAAAGTGCAACCAGAGACTCAACTTGTTACAAGCAGTACAGGGTTTTTATAAGACGTTGCGCTGTAAAAAAGCTCAGCACTTTGTCCCTTCTAAAACTTCCCCTTTCCCTAAGACAAACAGATTACATCAAAAAACAAGAGAAGAAGCACCACTAGATTTGTTATTCAAAGCTTATTTGTTACTTTCAGCTAATCTAATGACCTAGATAGCATATGTATATTGTTTTGGTACATTGTCTTCTAAAGTAACCTAAACAGTGTACTTTGTTGACACACTGTTTTCTAAAATTCTGCATGTACTGTACACAGCAATTACATCCTAAAAATATATTTTCTAAAAGCACCAATATATTTTTTGCATTTTAAGAATCAATTTACTTAGATTTCCATTTCAGTCCACAGGCCTCTGAAATAAAAGTATTGCAACTACTGACACAGTTCAGCTGTTCTTTGGAATAAGAGAAATGTATCCTAAAATTATTTCTTTTTTATTGCTTACCTGCAATGTGTAAAACTGGTTTTAAATCTGGTCCTGAAGTACACATTTGCTTGTACATAACCCCCTTGGTTAACACTGCTAACTGATGCCTGTATCTGATCTGCTTGCTTGTTTAGACTTTTTTCTATACACAGATTTTCATTGCAAGTACCCTACAGTGCATTATTTCTAACAGCTTCAGCATACACAACTTTATGCAGTCTTCTCAACTTGGTAATTAAGAATTTATTGGTTTTTGTTTGTTTTTGATTACAATGCTGATCATAAGTAATGAAGTCTCACAGCAAGTCAGCGTTTTTTTTCTCCTTCTGCTTAATTCTAGAAGGTTATATTGCAATTTGCACACCTGAATGAGGGCCAATCTGAAACACACTATTTAGCACTCATAGGTGAAAGCAATTTTTATATCGCCCTCAAACAGAAAACTGAAAAGAATTAGCCTGTAATTGAGAACTCAACTGGATCATAAACCAGAGGACAAAGGGGATACTCGGAACTCGGAAGTACCTTTGTACTATTGTACAAAGTATTTTTCTAATCAAGGCCCGAGTGCAGAATAAAAATCTTAACAATCAAGCAGATCAGTTGATAGTAACAATTATCACTGGTGCAACAAATACCATCAGATACAGGTGTACTCCAGGACCACGACCAAGAACCACTGGTCTATAAGATGAAAATGTGTCATTATAAATGCCTGTCTTTTCACAGGACGTTTATTCAAGCATTTCATGTTTACAGTAGCTGACAGCTTGTTTTTGCTATACTGTATGCATGTATTACTCTCTATGGGGTATGTTAAATGTCATCTGTGTTTCTCCAGTCTTGAATTCTATCTAAACCAGGATTTTATCTAACCCGGTGGTGGGTATTCCTGATTCTACAGACGTTCTATAGGTTATCAATACAGTAGCACCATAATAGTTGGAGAAGATGTTAAATTGGCCCCATTAAGCTAATAATGAGCTAATTTAGATTGTGACATGAGTTGACATTAAAACCTGCCAACACATTGGCCCTCCTAAAACAGGAATGTCTACCAATGATTTAAATATTTCTGTATTTCCTTTGCAGCACCTAAAGTGAGAATGTCTGCAAATGTGACTATTTTAGTAAGTATGCCCGTATCTAGATGATTGATATACAGTATATAAGGAACAGCAGTGATCCTAATAGATCTTGGTAGAACTCTGCTAATTACAGTACATCACCCCTTATCTGTGCTACATCTGATGCATTAACCATTCTTATTCCTTATTTCATTGAAAGCCTTTAATTTGCAATCTGAGAATTCATTTTTAATCATAATGTTACAAGAAAATCATCATAACTTTTCAGTTGTGTAAAGTATGCATATGTCTTGAGTAAAAGAAATTGTGTAAGATTAATACTGTACATATTGAATTGAATTTGCAAATGCATACTAAGCAATTGGAAAAGTTTGTATTTGAATGTCTTACCACAACAGCTTTATAAGCCTTGACTATGTAGACAAGATTAAGACTTTTACAGGTAAACCGGAGGCAAAGAAAACCATTGGAAGTCAGAGAAGTTGCCAGGGAAACAAGATGGTGAAAGTTCATGTTTCCTCCAGCACCATTGGTGAGGAGAACTCCTGTCAATTGATAGCAGTCCTCTGCAGGGGCTGGCAATATACCATCAAGATGTTTAGCACCAAATGGGATTTTAACTTTTTCCTAGAAAAAAAGTCAACCCTAGTGATGCATATTAAAATATTAGATGTTTTCTAAATAAATTAAACACAGAAACATTTTTCATATTACATAATACATATTACTTAATATTAATATATAATAAGTAATATTACGTATATTTCTCATTTATTTTCACATAACCACATATTTCTTCACTGTGACTGAAATATTACTGCAATTACAAATGGTACTGTACACATTTCCAGAAAATATTGGAAAAATTCCTGTAATTAATTGATTCATTTAGTTAACTTTTACTAAACTACGTCTAGCAGTCGTCTAGCAGTGAACAGATTCACCATCTTTTAAGAAAATGAAGCATTAAATATTTCAAATCAATTAAAAGAGTTAATGCACCAACTGGTAATATACCTCTCTACTGGTATTCATTGACTGAACGTCCGTGTAAAGTGACTGGGGTAAAGTTAGCTTGAAGTTCGAAAACGATTTTGGCACGCCTGTACCGCTTTCGCGAAATCTCTTAGTTACAAAAACACTTGCTTTGTGTATAAAATACATTGTGAATGCTTTCTCAGCCTTCACTTTTTCATTTTTATGACATTTGTTTTGACCAAGCACGAATATTCTTTTGTCCATATCTTCGCAATGGAAGCACAGAACGCCTTCAAACCAAATGCATTGTAAAGACCACGACTTGTGGATATTTCCACAGCCTCTATATCAAACTATCAGTGAGCTAATTATCTTTTTTTAAACCTCCGGTTTTTCATCGATGCGTAATTACGCACTAACTGGAACCCGAGGGACCACTATGTGCACACGTTCACAACGTGAGAAATACTGTTCAATACAGCTTCGTGCGAAAAACCCGTATATGACCATAGGAAGCAGAACAGCGCAGTCTCCAATTACCCAGACTGTAAGCACGGGATTAAAGCTTTGTTTCATTTCTGAAACCCTTCCTGTACATCCTGTTTTCATTCAGGTAAGGGTCAACTATACTGACAATACTACTGACAGCAGGAAGATTAAAATATTCTTTACTCAGCAGCTTATTAAAAACAGCTCCCATGATGTTCAAACTTTGTGTTCTGAATCTCTTTTTATGTGCTTTTATTTAATGTGGCACAATGCACTGGGATAGGGGTATTCTGTTCACAAACCAATAGCATTTAAACCACAGCACCCACAATGCTGCAAGTAAGTGTTTTGCACACTAAGCAGGTCCTCTGACTTTTCCCAGCTTTGTTTTGGGTTGTGGAACCTTTCTTTATTTTTTTATGATTTTTTGAAGATAACACTACAGGTTATACACTGGGATAGGTGGGTTGTCTTCATGGCTTAATAGCATTTCAAATACAACAGCCACACTGCTGAAACCAAGTGTTTTACACACCAGACTGTCCCCCTAACTTTATACAACCTTGCTGTGGCTGTGGCCCCTTTATTTATTTTCATGATTTTTTTAAGATAACACTACAGGTAACACAGTGGGATAGGTGGGTCTTCTTCATGGCTCAATAGCATTTCAGGCACATCAGCCACACTGCTATAACCAACTGTTTTACACACCAGACAGGCCCCCTGACCTTATACAACCTTGCTGTGGCTGTGGCCCCTTTATTTATTTTTTAATGATTTTTTCAATATGGCACCATCAGACAGGCGGTACATGGGGATAGGGGGGTGCTATTCACGAGTCAATAGCTCTTCAAGCACACCAACCACAGTGCTGCAACCAGGTGTTTTACACACCAGACAGCTCCCCTAACCTTATACAACCTTGCTTTGAGTTGTGGAACATTTCTTTATTTTTTTATGATTTTTTTACTGTAATCAAGTGTTGTGCTCACTAGGCAGGCCTCCTGACCTTTCACAGTCATGCTTTGTTGTGTGAAACTTTAATTCTTTTTTTAGGATTTTTTGAACATGGCAACTTCCACCGAGATGGGTGTGGGGTGTGGGGGTGCTCTTCAATAGCTTTTTCATCTATACACACAAACGGATGTAACCAAGACACTCAGAACCTGTCACGCAGGGGCTGACTGCTGAGGATAGGGATCCAAGTCAGAGTAAACAGGCAGGGGTTCGAGTCTGGGAAGGCATAGTACAGGCGTAGGCACAGAATCGACAGGCGAAGGCGTAGTCGAGGGACTGGCAAGGGTCGGAGTCCGGGAAGGCGTAGTTGCGTCGGTGTGGATTCAGAAGGCAGTAAACGAAGAGACAGGCTGGGGTCAGGATCTGAGAAAGCGTAAAACAGGCCAAGGTACAAAATCGAGTGGCTAAAGCAGTAGTTGGAAAAGCGGGGTCGAGGTCCAGGGGAGAAGTCACAGTACGGCAAAGGCGTAGTTAGAAGGTAAGCTCCGGGAGAGAATCTCTATCGTGAGCAATGACCGGGGGACAGATGAGGGTTTAAGTAGAGGACTGATTGACGCGTGCACGTTTGGTATGGGGAGAGCTCGTGGGAATGTGGGAGCGCTTGCCTGCCTGAGGGAAATTCGTGACAGAACCAACAGAATCAATCTGGACTCATAGAAAAACAAGAATGCCACCGAGACACCTGCACCCCCTCCTGGACCACTCTGGTATCAACACCCCCAAACCCATCCATACCAGCTAACAAGACTCAGAATCGGTGCAACCCTCCAACCTGGACAAAGAGCAGGATGGGACGAGAACCTGCACCACACTACATACACAAGTTTGTATTTTTTGGCTGAAGATGAAAATGTCTAAAATAGATTGTTTTGGTTCTAGCAAACAATAAAAATAGGTGTTAAAATCCAAACACACACAATGAGATCACTCTCTGTCAGTATGTGTAACATTCTGGGTCTGGGCTCCTCTGTATTTGGGCTAAAGAGAGTTCAACAACATTATTAGTGCACTGACATCATAATCTGACAAGAGACATTGTTTAGGGGAGATTTGACGACCCACTGTCCCCCTGGTATCGTGAAGCTCATTGTCCTTTAGCTTACCAAAACCAGAATGTAAAAACTTGGTTTCAGCAGTGCGGCTGTTGTATTTGAAATGCTACTGAGCCATGAAGAAGACCCACCTATCCCAGTGTGTTACCTGTAGTGTTATCTTAAAAAATCATAAAAAATAAATAAATAAAGGGGCCACAGCCACAGTAAGGTTGTATAAGGTTAGGTCTGGTGTGTAAAACAGTTGGTTTCAGCAGTGTGTCTGTTGTACTTGAAATGCTATTGAGTCATGAAGAAGACCCACCTATCCCAGTGTATTACCTGTTGTCACGATCGCTAACCCCTCCTCTTAAGGGTACTCTAGCCCTGCCTTGTTCCCTTCCCTTGTCTGCACCTGTTCCCTATTCCCACTCCCCCTTAAAAGCCAGACTCGGACCTCACTCCTGGTTCCTCATTGATTTCTGCATCATGAGAGCTCGGGGTCCTGCTGCGTCTGGCACCGTTATGGTTTTAATCTTCTGTTCCCGATTCCCCTTCCTTCACCAGTCCCGACCCGGTTCATGTTTTAACTCCGTGGATGGATCCCCTGGCCTTGGTCTCTACCCTTTGTCTCGGATTAATCTTTTGGATTTCGCCTTGTTTGTTCGCCCCGGATTCACTCCCCCCTGGACACCAGCACTGCATGGACATGACCCACCGTCTCCAGACCCTCTCCCGCATGACTTTTTCCCTAGTGTATCTTCACTATTCTGGATCGCGTCGTATGCATAGGGCCCGGAAGGAACTGCTACGTGACACCTGTAGTGTTATCTTCAAAAAATAAAGGTTCCAAAACCCAAAACAAAGCTGGGAAAAGTCAGAGGACCTGCTTAGTGTGCAAAACACTTACTTGCAGCATTGTGGGTGCTGTGGTTTAAATCCTATTGGTTTGTGAACAGAATACCCCTATCCCAGTGCATTGTGCCACATTCAATAAAAGCAGGAGAAAAAGAGATTCAGAACACAAAGCTGTGTCAGTGTTCTGTGTAAAAAGTCGGTTTGAACGTCATGGGAGCTGTTTTTAATAAGCTGCCGAGTAAAGAATATTTTAATCTTCCTGCTACCAGTAGTATTGTGAATATAGTTGACCCTTACCTGAATGAAAACAGGACGTAAGGGAAGGGTTTCAGAAACCAAACAAAGCTTTATTCCAGTGCTTACAGTCTGAGTAATTGGAGACTGCGCTATTCTGTTGCCTATGGTCATATACGGGTTTTTCGCACGAAGCCGTATTGAACAGTATTTCTCGCGTTGTGAACTTGTGTATACAGCGGTCCCCCGTGTTCCAGTGTGTAATAACGCATTGATGAAAAACGATAAAAAAGATAATTAGCTCACTGATAGTTTGATGTAGAGGCTGTGGAAATATCCACAAGTCGTGGTCTTTAAAATGCATTTGGTTTGAAGGCGTTCTGTGCTTCCATTGCGAAGATATGGACAAAAGAATATAAGTGCTTGGTCAAAACAAATGTCATAAAAATGAAAAAGTGAAGGCTGAGAAAGCATTCACAATGTATTCAAGAACTTCAAGCTAACTACCCCGGTGTAAAGTGTAGACTAAAACAACTTTTATGAAGAGGACCTATATGTTCCACAAAGAAACAAGATCTAATATTTTAAAACCGAAGAAAATAATACACAGGCTTACTTACACCCATTTCTAAAAACACATCCCGGTTACGATTTACAAATTATTTTAGAAGCATATATCCATTATATTAAACTAGCAGTAGAAAATTGCTTTTTATTGCGCATTATTTTGCATGAAATGCATTAGAAATCGCGTTGCTAATTATATGATTTTTAATACCTGAAACAAGTATTCGTACCCTATAAAATACCATTTTACTAAAGCTAATCATGCTGCATGATTTCACAATTAACAGTTTGAGTAATTTACTAAATATTAACATTGTGACTTCAAAAGAATAGAAAAATGCATGCACAGTATTATTTTTCTGAATATTAACGATGTTAAATTTGTCTTATTTATAAAGGACTGAAAGCAAAGAAAACTCAAGATCTTCTTTTTGAAAGACATTAAATCTTACCTCGTAAAACGTCATATCAGCCTTTACTTTCATTTGCACAGTATGCACAGTGCATTCAGCCATTCCACTTCGTCATTTGTTTTCCAGGAAACGTTTCTCTGTACTTTGGATTTAAATTTTACCAAAGGTCCCTCTCGCGTCAAGGAGTGGTATTGTTCTTATTACGGATTACTAAAGGTCTATAGCTGGCTGTTGTCTCACGTTTGGTGAAACTGATTAAACATCTGACTACTCTCTTGCATTTTTAAAGCGGCTGTATTGTGTGGTCAGAATTTACAAGAACCGTTTTTTACATTTTTTTTTCTGTATAGACTGTATAGAACCGACATTCTCGCTGCATGTATTTAAACAGATAACTTCGATTTGAAGTGTACAAACGACCGTAACTTTATTTAATGTTAGTGAAAAGACTTTCATAAGCACATACTATATGTACACACATAGAACATACAAAAAGTACATGAACCTTTACTCTGATTCGTTAAAAAAACGTATCTATACATTGTTAATGTTTTTTGTATTAATGTGATAAACACATGGAGCTTGATTTTATTTTGTTACAACATCGTTGACTTCACTCGAACTTTTAATACCATAATGAGCACTTCACTTATTTCTGCAAACTACTGAGATCACCTGAGACCCTGTAAGCAGGGATGGCAGTGATATTTGGGGTAGTCACTTAATCTTCAACAAATCTTTGAAGATCAAAGACACAAGTTTAGAGAGGTTTAGCATACAAGTATACTGTATATAAAGTAATACCATAGTGAATACATTTTATTTGCTTAGAAGACACTCTTATCCACTTAAAGCTGGTGATGCACTTCATCCACAACAAAGCACACACTAGAATGATAGCCATGATGCAGTTGCAGCCCTACAATACAGCAGATCCAAGAAAGAAGCAATAAATTGCTTCACCAGTTAAACTGAGGGGAAACTTCATGTTGGCAAGATTTATTAAGCCAAGAGTGAAATTTAACCAATACAGTTTAAAACCATTATAGTAGTCCAGGTGGGTAGCTGCGTCATTTCATTGTAGGTTTCATTTCACACCTTTCTTCACACCTATCCTGACTTCACACTACCTGACTGGCCACTCTTTCTATCCCCCGCTCCCACCTCCAGCCCTTCCTCTGAGCTTTTGTTCTCCTATGCTTACTGATCTGTCTGTCTCACACCTGAAGAAGGCTCCATGGCCGATAATTTGTGTTTTCTTTCTTCCATTTTCAGCATGGAATAAACCTATTATTTGTTCCTTAAAACCATTATGTTTAGATGCTGGTTCAGAAGAAAAAGTGCCTCTGGTCCATCAAGAAACTTTTACAACAGCAACCTTAAAACGTCCATTCCAGTATTTATTAGCTCCAACATTCCTTAGCATCATTACAAAAGAGATATGTCCATTTGTTATTGCAGTAATATTTCTGTCACATGAAGAAATATGTGGTGATGTGAAAATACAGTAGAAATGTTAAGTTCTGTAATATGGCATCCAAACAATCCATTGAAAAAATGTTTTCTGTCTGTACATTTTTAGAAAACAAATATGCATAATAAGGTTTTACTTTTTTCTAGCTAAAAATATACATGGGATTTTGACAACCGCTGCAGAGGATTACTGTCAATTGACAAGAGATATCATCATCTATGGTGCTGGAGGAGACATGAACTTTCATTATCTGGTTGACCTGGCAACTTCTCTGACTTCCAATGGTACTTTGCTTCTGGGTTATGTGTGAATCTTAACCTTGTCTACAGAGTCAACACCTATAAAGCTGTTTTTAATATATCACTTTATTAACCCTTAACAATTTCTTGCATTAGGAATGATCTTTTCGCATACCCCAGCTTGCTCTCCATGAGACACACAGACACACAGATAGGGAAAGAGCCTGGGGTCAGAGCGCAGGGTCTGCCATTGTACGGCGCCCCTGGAGCAGTTGTGGTAAGATTCAATGATAGTCTTGATATTAACTTTTCCAATTGCTTAGTATGCATTTGAAAATTGCAATTCAAAATGTACAGTACTAATTTTACACAATTTATTTTGCTCAAGACACATACATACTTAACACAAATAAAAATAAATTATGATTTTCTTGTAACATTATCTATGATTAAAAATGAATTTTCAGATTGTTGGAGGCTTTAAAGGAAATAAGGATTAAGAACTGATTAATGCATCTTAAAAAGCACACTGCTGCCCATGTGAATACAATAGTGACAGACAAATTTACAGTTTTGGAGACAATGTCCAAAACGCTTTTCAAAAAGTATCATTTAGCTTTGTATGGATATACAGAGAGGAATGATTGTTTAAGATGAGAAACACCTAACAAGGAATCAATGAGATTGTACTGGTAAATGTGATGGATTAGCTACTGTAACACATCATATGGGCTGTTTATAACCTATCTTGAGTGCATGTAATCATAACATTGCCAGATAAGAAGCTTGTTTTATTCTCCCCAAAACCTGAATTCCAGTTCCTTTTTGCACATTTACAGTATTTCTTCTTACACCATCCATTTAATTCAACCGGTTAAACAACTGCTCACTTCTTCACCAAAGTGTATTGGGGGAGCTGTGCATGAACAACATGTTTATTGCCTATATGTAAAGTGCTTTGGGATTGCAGGGAATGAAAAGAGTTATACAAAAGTATCATCAGTTATTACTACTACTACTACTATCATTACTACTACCTTTAAACATTGGACAAGGTTAAGGACAAATCCAGCCACAGTCCGTAATTCATGACTATAAGGTACAATTTGCAAAGGACACCATTGAGAGGATATCTATATAGGATCCATCTATTTTCTATTTTCTATTCGCTTTATCATGTACCTGGTCATGGGGGAGCCACGGACTATCCTGGAATGCAACGGGTGCAAGGCAGGATATGCCCTAGATGGGACACCAGTCTATTTCAGGGCACATACAGACAGAAACATACACCCACTCACACCAGGGCCAGTTTTCCCAGAAACCCACCAGTATGTCTTTGGAGTGTGGGAGTGTTACAGTATGTCCCGGTGTGGTCCATGTTTTTTTGTTTTGATGCCATCTTCCACAGTTCCTGATTTTGGTTGTTCTCCTTCCCCATTGGTCCGTTAATTTATCCACTTTGCCATCATACGTAATCAGCTTCTCAACCTATCAGAACTCAGCATATTTAGTATTTAACTTGTAGGTTTTCAGAACGAAGGGGCCTTTCGCTTGACTTCAGTTCTGCTCAGCTCAGCTTTGTTTTGCTATGGCTTTGTTTCTCTCCATTTTAGTTCATTCTGCTTCGTGTGTGTTTCCGTATAGCTTCGGCTTTGTTGGTTTGTGTTAGTTTCCATGTACCTTTGTTTGTTTGTATTATCTTTACTTCGCCATTACCTTGCCCAAACATATTATATCAACCTCTGTGTTCTTTTGTACCCTATTCCTAGTCTACTCTCATTTTCCCTTGTTTGTATTCGTAGTTCACTTGTGTATTTGTGTGAACTTTTGTGTAAAGGGTTAGTTTAGGTTTACGGGTACATTCTGCACATGTAGTTGGTCTGCGTATTAGAAACACTAGTTTAGGATGGGTGAGTGCCTTTTGTCTTGTATGGTTTTGGGTAGTTAGTAAAGATTAGCCAGGGCGTTAGAAGATGCCTAATACCGAGTGTTTCGGGTTTGTTTTGGTAGATAGGTCAGCTTTCCCTCACTTTATTAGACAGCTCTTTTTTGTTTGTTATTTTCTTTTCTTTGGCACCGCTCTAGTTGCCTTTCCCTGTCTGTTTTTGTGTCCTTATACGTACCAGTCACTTATTCACATTAAAACAAATCCCTTTTGCACCAAACCTGTTGTCACGCTTCCTAAGTCCCTCACGAGAAACCCCCCTGCATCCAAACCCATCCTAAATGTTACACCCCTTTACCCCTAGACACTTGGAGTTGTAACAGGGAGGAAACTGGAGCACCCAGAAGAAACCCACGTGAACACGGAAAGAATATACAAACTATGTACACATGCCTAGAATTCAACCCAGAGCTCCAGCATTGTGCGGCAGCAATATTAATCACTGCGCCACCGTGCTGCCCCAGGAGGATATTTATGAAAATTATTATTTTTATGAAGAAATTAAATGTGATGTTTACTGTGCTTAAAAAACAATAAAATCTGATCTATGTCAATTTATTTATTTATTGTAATTTAAGAGTCAATTTTAATGTCAGAAACAGTCTTGGAAAATACAAATACAAAAGACAATCCTGCTCACACACACGGAATCTCCTACTCCCTCACTTGAAATTTGGAGCCTCCTGCTTCTTCACTCGAAATCTGGAACTCCAGCTCCTCAGCTGTCACAAACTCCACAAAGGGTATGGGTTATTTCCCTTGAATCCTTGAACTTCTACTGTAAGTCCACTTCCAACTGCTGACGTTACCACCTGACCACCAGGCTGGGTTCACACACACAACACTCATCTAAGGCTCCAGTGCTTCAGTCACACACTGAGACTCAATACTGTCATGAACACCACACTACCTCTCTGATCTCGTGGTCACACTCTCATGTCCCATGTCATGTCCCTGTGCAGCTCGCAACTGCCGGAACACATTTTCTTCGAGCCCAGCCATAACTGTCTTTACTCTTTTTTTCGAACACTCTTGTCACTCCTTCCAGTGCATCTCCCTTGCCCCGTCTTATACCACTCAATACCAATACCCTAGTCCTGGGGTTCTTCACCTGGGGGTCATGACCCCGTATTCCCAGGGGGGTCGCTCAGTAGGTAACAGAGACAGAATCAACCAAAACAGGTGGTAAACAGGACACATACACAGATTCAGGGTGGTTACACCTGCATGGTTAACACTACAGTATTTACATTAGCAGGGTGACTTAGTGGTCACTCTGCGAGCCCAAAGATCATTCCCCGGCTACAACTCCCAGCCTGCTCTGTGGTGCGTCCGGCGAGGGTGCTACATTAATTCCTATTGGATGGGCCATGACTGCATTTATATTTGTAGCACTTTTTTTCTTCGCACAAGGTAGTCGTGATTAGTCTAGCAATGGAACATTTGTAATAGGTGGCACTTGTAGAGTGAGAGCTAAAAATAATGTGGAGAAACACATAGCAGAAAACTCCGAACAGAAAAAAAAGAAGAAAATACGACTCATTTTTTTAAGGAAAGCTACAGGAGCTAAGAGGCCAAAATTAAGCCACCACTGTGAACCAGAAGGCACTTCAGGCATCTTTCGTCATAGCTAACTGGATTGCCAAAACTGAGAAGGCACACACGTTAGGTGAGACTTTTTTCTTACAGTGCGCTAAGGAAACGGTTTCAATCATGTGTGGGAAAAGCACTGCAGAGCAACTAGCATTGATACCAGTATCAAATGATACTGTGTCTAACTGCACTGGGCTATGGCAAGAGATGTGGAAGAGTAGGTGATCGCTAAGATAAAATCTAGTGCGTATTTTTCTTTAAAACTTAACAAGACCACTGATCTCCGGCAATTCACAAATGCACCTTAACGCCAGATTTGTTAAAGAGGGAGAAATCAATGAGGATTTTTTGTTCTGTGTACCTCTCCCCGATCGTGCCACTGGACATCAACTTTTCGTTTTGCTGGACACATATGTATGTGAGCATGAAATCAACTGGAACAAGTGTATGGGAATCTGCTCAGACGGTGCACGAGCTATGACTGGCAAACACAGTGGGTTAGTCACGAAATTATAGGCCATTGCTCTGTTTGCTTTTTGGACGCATTGTATGATCATAGACAAGCCCTCCTGGCTAAGAAAATGCCCCCCGAACTCAAACAAGTAACGGATGAAGCTGTTCATACTGTAAAATCGATCAAGGCCAGTGCAACAGGCGCACAACTTTTAAAGATTATTCCAAAAATTAAGCATAGGATGACTGGAGAGGCAGCCTTTTGTTACTACACACCCAAACAGTGGAATAATATTCCTAAAAATATTAGAAAGGCTGGCTCTGTGGATATTTTTAAACGGCAGCTCAAAACCTATTTTTTAATAAGCTATAATTATTTTAAGTTGCTTAAAGTTTTTTCTAACTTTATTTTTTGTAAAAAGCACTTTGAGTTGCAAATATTGTATGAAAGGTCCTATATAAAGTGAGTAGTGAGTAGGGTTACAATTTATACAATATGACGACTTTTAAATCTGTGTGTGTGTGGGGGGGGTTAAGAACCCTGCCCTAGTCAATACCCTACTATATAGATGGAGTAAAGTAATGCAAAGTCTTAGAAAGAAAACTGTTTCAGAACTAAAACTGGGACAAAAATTCACCTTTCAGCCGGAAAATGGGCCTAAGCACAAAGCCAAAACTGCACTGGCTAATTGCTTCCAAAGGCGCTTTCACCAAATATTGTGTTCATGGGTCTCAATAGTTATTAAAAAAAAGCTAAGAACACCATTTAATGTTCCAATCCAGCCATATCTGACTTTCAAAGTTCATCCTTTTCCTGCAAAATGAAAGACAGAGGAAAACAAAGATTAGTCTTCAAAAGAATAAACTGTATAAAGCAAACATGGGTATTGGTATGTTAGACTTTGCTTTTCAATCTCTATAGATCACAATGAATAAGGGACTGAGAACACCTATAAGAACATTTTGATACAAAAAGGACAAAAGTACAGAAAATATTAAATTAAAATGTGAGCAGTACAGAAAATCAAGTGCCATTCTTGAGAAACTATAATCTCAAGGTTTTCCCAAGGCCACAGGTTTATGATTCAGGAAAATGTTCTTGCATGTACCAACTTTATGAGCTCACAAAAATTAACAAAGGTATACTACTTGGCTATGATTACCATTTACAGATAGTCACTAAGATAAAAAACATTTAAAAATTAACCTCAAACTGCCTATAAATGTGAAAGAACAGGTAATTTCCCATTTTCTGTCTACGTTGAAAAACCAAGGCCATTATCTTTTACAATATCGCTATCATATTATTCTCCTGTTTTAATGAGTCATTGTAAAAGAGCTCCACCTAAAACAAGCCTTAAATGCAACCTTTATTTAAGACCTGCATGTTGTGCAACCTTCCTCCAATTTTGCAATACAGTAACTATTTTAGCTGAACATCATTTATGCAAATGGAGGCATATTCTTCCTCTACAGAAGATTATTATTTTAAAGTCTGTCCTTCCTATACAGTGTGGTGAAAAAGTAAGCAAATCCCTTTAAGATTTTATACTTTAACATATTTAGACATAATTTATGTTCGTCCAGTCCTTACCGAGTCCTAAAATTAATTTCATTATGTATTTTTAAAAATCACCCTGCATTCAATATCTCTGTGTGAAAAAGTAAGTGATTCAGTAACTTTTGGCACCCGCTTTAGCAGCAATAACTTAATTAAATTTCCTGTAATCAGTCTGTCACATCACCTGGGAGGAATTGGCCCACGTTTCCTTGCAAAGAGTTAAAGTTAGTATTCCTGTATTTCAGAAAAGAGAGAGCACATGTTCATTCATAATTATGGTTAAGGTTATATTTTTATGTATTTGATGTGGCTATATGTGACTGTACAATCTCAGAGAACCAGCAGCTGGCGATGAAAATGTATTTCTAGTTCAATTTGGGTTTACAGAACAGCTTAATGGATCTAAAAATTATGATAAGATCTATTGATATTAAACCATCTCCTATTTAGAAGAAAAACAATTATCATGACGTTTGAAAACTCCCTTAGTTCCCCATTGTACAGTTTAAATTCCCCAGTGGCTCAGAAATGCAGAATATCCTATCTAGGAGTTGGCCAATTTAAATTTTGGAGGACATGTGGAGGTGCAATCCTATTAAAAAACTAAGGATTGTAAGGTTCTACATCTAAAATCATTACAGTTACATGGCTTTACATCTGAGAAGCCATGAAACTGTAACAGTACAATTTGAGAAATTGACCATGTGACAGCTTCTGTTCAATATATCAGCAGCAGCCCAGAAAGACAACTTGATTAATCATAATTTGTTTTAGAAAAGGAACAGGATCTATGTGATGAAAAATAAAACATGTTTTACAGCAGCAGCTTGTATTGTTGACTAACATATTAATGTTGTAATTAATATGTCAAGAAGAAATATCTGGATATAGTTCTGCAGAATTTTACAAGTTCTCATTTTACCTTTTTCCTATGACAGGTACATGGAAAGAGGTCATCCTTTGGTTGGCCCACTAGTTCCATTCCATCTCTAACTTTTGGTTCGTTTATTTGCAGGCTGGCATATTCCTAAATCACAAGCAAAATGTAACTGTTTCAGTCTCTTTAGTTGGTTAGTTGGTTAATTACATTATTACATGGTAACCTCTACCGCCGTCTGGACTATAATAACTATACTGTATAGGAGAGCCCACTTCATCCTCCAAACACATTATAAAGAAGTTCAGGTGAAGAAGTGGAAAAATTAATTTACCAATAGAATTAAATGGTAATGTCAGGATATCCACATTGTGCAACCTCTTTTTAATGTCTCAATTTAAGGATGGCACTTCTTACAGCACAGTGTTCTTAATCAAATTACATTCCAGATTGCCACATACTGCTCTACCAACACCACTAACAGCAGTAACCTTGTTTATAATGTTTATGTAATTAAATCCTGAAATCTTACGAGATCAGGATACAAAGTGGTAAAAAAAAGTTGTCATTACATTAAAATTTTAAAAATCTGTAATTTTAGTAGGTATTTCTGGACCTCTGCAAAAAAAAATGTGCTGCAATACTTGTGACATCAGCAACAAAGCTCTCAACTCTTGCAAACAACATCGTTCATATACTTGTTTGAGAAGTTCTAGAATTTATCAATTTAATATCCCCTTAGTGACAACTGTGTATATTATCTTTTTAAATTCTGTGCACATTTACAAATAATGATTTTAGTTGACAAAGACTTGCATTTCCAAATTGGTAAACAGCAAAGAAAAAAATATAAATACATAAAAAATAAACCATAGAAACTGTATGAAAAGGCAAACTTAAAGAAAACAAAAGTTGGATGATTTTAATAAACAAACAGCTACATACTTCATAAATATTTGCATTCCACCCCATGATTTAAACCACCTAGCAGTGGTTGGTTTATGCAGAGATAATTTTCTTTTTTACATTACTGCAAAACACTTGACATCTGCAAAACGTGGCAATATATTAAAGTAGCATTTTACTATTATTTTACTAATATTTTTGATCTCACAGAAAGTTACAATCTAGCCCAATAAACAGAAAAGATTGAAAAAATTAGGTCATAAAGTAATTTTATCTTATTGGAGAGGCTGGAGATACAATAGGTTTGTGTATGTTTGCTTTGTGCTTTCATGAGGTACTGTAAGTTTTTTTAGAAGAATAATACCAGGTTTAAAAGGCTTCTTAGAAATAGCCATATACATTTATAGCACAGAATGATAATATCAAACTGAAATACAGAATTTTTAAATGTATTTTTTAAACTATAAGTTAAAAAATAATAATCAAGTCAGAGAGTAGATTCTAAAGAGAGCAGAATTACTTCTGACATCAGTTATGCACACCAATAAGATTGTGGATATTTACTTTGTAAGAAAGATTATATTTCTAAGTGATATTCAGTATGGAATTATGAATATGAGCATTATTTCTGCAAGGGATTTGCTTTTGGATCATTTTTAATGACACAGGTATGATCCCACCCAAGTCAATTTATTTTGGACTGCATCTGTAACATGCAGATCAATTTCAAGGGAAAGATTACTTCAACACGATGCAATAATATTATAACTACATGAAGGCACACAATGCAAACGTGTACAGTAATGTGCAAATCAACTTCAGAAATATGAAAATTGCCTGTTTCTGTAAATCAACATATGCAGGAATCTCATTATGTATGCTGCTTATGTGTGGTTCCAGTGTAATAACACTTGTTTTAATAAAGTTCAGGACAAAGGAGTTGCTGAACTGCTTTGAAAAAAAAATAGAAGGAAAAGAAAAGTAATTCAGTGTCTGATCTCACGAAAAAGAAACCATTTACAACTATTCCAAAGGCAGAGGTTCTTCCTTGCTGTTGTCATCAGATTATGTGAAGGGCATTGAAAGACTGTTTTACAGCAATACAGCAGTTCACCCAGCACAAGACAGTGCACTAATAAAGGAAAATGACTCTTTTCAAGGCCAGATTTATAAAACTGAGGACAAGGGCAAACTTCTGCTAAGAATAAAAAGTTGCTTGCAGCCGTATTCATAGAACTATTACACAGCATTCATTTTGGAGACAGAAAACTCACTTTTTGAAAGTAAAAATAATTTAAAAAATAAATCTCAAACTAGTATCCTGAAAGAGGTCTCTCCTTCAATGGTTTTGTTTTTTTTTGCAAGAGAAAAAAAAGACATTAGTTAAACACAAATGAGATAATCTGGGGTTTATGCTTTTTGCACAATTATATTACAAAATCACTGTCTCTTTTGTACAAAGTGACTGCTTCAAGATTCTAGAAATCGTTGAATGGTAGCACTTGGTCAAACTCATAGAAAGACAAATATACTCACGGTTGGATTGATAAATGGTTGAGGTTATGTACATAGATAGGCATATAAATATTTAAGCACTTAAACAGATCCATACATATATTGATATACTGTATACACAAATAAATATATTTAGAGAAAGAGAAAATCCCAATGTTTGTATATTTCTTATATATTCAAATGTTTGATTTAGAGAGACAGCTTAATTGAAACTTCAGAAAAAAAATAAGGGTTTCATTTTTACTTGCATTTGACATCTCTTTTGCAAGGTTTGCACAGATGTGTGTTGTGAACTCAATTACTGGGGGGTTTATAAGGTCTTCAAACATTTGTTCCAAGACACCACCCACCTCTAAGGTTTAATTATTTAAGTGGAAAAAATAAAACTTCTTCTTCTATCCAGGCTTTGAAATGTGTTATCTTAGAAACTAAGATTTAACACTCCACGGTGTAGAATAATTGTTTTTAGGCTAAAGTTGACTTAGAAAAGAAATACCCATTATTAAATAAAAATGTTTGGAAATCTATTTCACATTAAAAATTTAAGTTTACCATGAAGAGTTTGAAATAATAACAAAATATATTATCCCCCATCAGATTTGTCCGGGCAAAGTCCTGGCCAGTTTTTGCAATTTTCTTTGCCTAATTGGGAAGAGAAAAAAGGCATTAATTTATGTGCAGACAAGGTTTATTGAGATTTATACCTACTAAACGCACACCTAGTACTTATATGAATAAAGAGGTCTGTATTGTGTTTGTTCACATTATACTGCTGCTGAGTGCTGGAAAACATCAATGACTTATACATTTACAAATATGTCCTCACAGTTAAGAAACCCCACAGGTAACTACCAATTTATTTAAACCAATTTAAACCAATTCCTATCACACACATGGGGAGGAACGCGACTTCAGATTATTACCAGTACGTCTTGCAGTATTCTGTGCTTGTGCTTTTTTGTCTCTCTTATTTTGTAAGTAAATTTCAGTATAAAAGCAGTTTAAGAAACACTTATTAATGTTTTTAATTGGCATCTGAACAGTCATTGGAATGTAACTGTGTTTTATACAACTCTGATCACTGCTACAAGCCTCATTAGATGACAGATTAGCTCAGGAGAAAAGTCAGTATACATGGGTTCTCTACACTGTGTACATTAACATTTACATTAACTTGCTGCATCTCTTATGTGAAGATTTATTTTTTATAAAATGAGAAATTACCATGGCAGGTTACCAATTACCATGCCAAGATAGCAAACGACAGCTTGTAACAGGGAACAAACTCCCAGCCTTGTACATGTTATATTTTTCCATTTAAAAACTTTCATACAGATGCAGCCATTCAAATTGCATGGTACAAACCCGTACCACATGTAACCACCTACGTCATACCGCGGTACGTGATTGGCTGGCCAAAATGACTGACTCGTGGTGCATTAGTCAGTAGTGAAAATATTTAATAATTTAATCTTTACTGTGAATGTTTTAATCCGCTTAGTATTGAATATTTATATGGAATTTTACAACTAAAGTGAAATTATAGTAGCTGAGCACAAAAAGAAGAGGAGCATAACGCGTCTGATGATCATAAACAATATTAATTTAGGAGCATAAACATATTATGTAAACTGTCTATGGCTGGTATCGGTAGTTTAAATAAAAAAATACCAGTATTCCACTTTTTTCCTAAATATTTTAGGCATCAAAGTCTTATATGTGGTTATTTTGGAAACATTTTTACGTGCTTCTTCTGACTATATTACGTTTAAACCTCACACCTGATGAAGGCTCCACGGCCGACACGTTGTGTTCTCTTTCTTCTTTTTTTCAGCATGGAATAAACCTATTACTTGTTCCTTTGCAGCCTACGCATGCTGACGCAGCTACCCACCTATATTAAGTTTATATACTTTGTAAAAAGTTATAATGTTTTAATCTTTTCTGCAAATATGCTTGTTATCACAGTAAACAAAAACATACTTTTAGAATTTGATTAATAGGGAATATAAAATGGAATTGCGTATCTAAAGAAATTAATAACGATATAATTATATTCATGTACAGTAGCTCAAATGATCACAGTAGTACACTGTCTTTGGATATGTCTATTTCATATCTATCGAGTTTCACTCCTTTACACGTGATTACATCTGTGGTGTGACGGCTTAAGCATGTGCTTTATATGCCTGAGGTCAGAGGTTTCAGCCCAGCTGTCGCCATGAGTTTTCTTTTAAGAAATAAATATTTCTTTGAAAAACTAAATTAGCAAATATTATGGACACCATATTGACATTTTTTATATTTCTAAATATCACAATGTGTTCGGAGCTAAGTCATTTATTAATAACAACGAATAATTTCAAGGGCATATGTAAAGAAATAATAACTATATAATTAAATTCATATACTGTCTGGCGGAATAAACTAAAGAAGTAGTTAATGCGACATGGAAGATAGTATTAATAATATAGCACTTTCAGGCTCACGTGGGAATGTGCCCTACCAGCTCCAGAGTCACCCAACAGGGAAGCAGGCAGTCGAGCTACAGTGAGATGTGCCTTTAACCCTGATGGACCAGGTCCCTTCTTTCCATATGAAAGGCAGTGACGTCACCGCGCTGACAAGCCCTCAGTCACCTGACCAGCGGATGCACTGCATCAGAGTCAGTATAGTTTCTGGGAAATACATTTTTCCTGCATCAAAGTTAGTTCAGAATGCCCTACATTACAAACTCCAAGCGTTTCATTTTGAGTTGAAGACTCTCACACCTGAAGATGGCTTCAAAGCCAAAACGTTGTGTTTTCTCTGTTCTCTCTTCAGCATGGAATAAACCTACTACTTATTCCTTTGCAGACTACACAAGCTGACATGGATACCCACATTAAGTAGTGTTGTACAGCTATAATAGACGTGGGTAATGTCATCCCCATTAAACAATGTGCTTATTGTGCAAATCCTGCTAAACTAAAAATTAGACACAAGAAGATTATTATTGGACAATATTGTCAGGGTCTGGCGGAATTTCTCTGTTAACTGAAGAGTTATAGAGGAGACACGCATCACCTCTTTTTACACTTGTAAAAAAAACATTCCACTCAGTGGCCAATGGATTGCTATCTCAATCACCTGCTAATTCATTTTACACCACGGGAAGACAGGAGAATGTGATTGCACTGTATCTGTGCGGAATGTGTGTTGCCTTTACAAAATTAAAGTATTTAAAATGTAGAATTAAAATGTAAAAAAAAAACTTACAGCTTACACAAAGATTCTAAGATGATCACGGGGAAGTGTATTGCATGTCTAATGGTCTAACCCCATTACCCCCATTTTGATTAAAATCTCAAACGCATGTTTAATTAAATGCCTTTATTGATTCACAATCTGACAATGCAATGTAAATTGTTATCTTTGTCTTCTAAGTCCTTTAATTAATAAGCATAGCTTTCTCACCATTTAGATTTATTTTTCATACCATCGTTAAACAAAGCAGGAACGCATTGTACTTCCTTGTGGGATCAAACGTGGAAAGATTAGATTGTAATTGTTTTTATTTTTTAAATACATTTTAGAAAAGTGTCATCTATACAAAAATGTTGTATTTATTTAATACAACTTGATAGTTATATTAATAGAGATAAGCTCTCTATTAAAGCTCAGATCAAAGATCAAACACAGATCAAACAGTAATATCTCACACACTGGGGCTGATCTCTGATGTGGTTGAGTGTGAGTGGTGTGCTCTAGCAGGCTAGCTGGTGTCTGTGTGGTTCGGGCCAGCTGGCTGTGCCGAAAAATAAATAGAACATTAAATAGAACCGGTTTAACAGCTCTAAAGCATAGTGTAGTTTTTGTGAACACAACTTTGTCAGTCAGTGAAAAAAAGACCGTGGGCACTGTTCCTCCCCCCTACATTCTCAGAGTAGAATAGGCGAACCTCCCAACGAAAGACAGTCCCCCTTACCCCAACGGACAGACAGACAAATGTTTTCACTGCCTATTATTTGAGGCTGAGGTCCCTGCTAGCAATCCAGAGGGAAAGGCAGTGACGTCACCGTGCCGGCAAGCATGCTCTTTAGATACGCGATTCCATATTATATTCCCTGTTAATCAAATTCTAAAAGTATACTTTTAAAAAACACCAGTTCAAAGTATGCTCTAAAAGGGTATTCGCAGAAACACAGAAATAATTTTTAGAATCTGCTAAATAGAGAATATAATATGGAATCGATTATCTAAAGAAATTAATAACGATATTAATTTAAGGATCTAAATATATGTATTTATATAGCTGGTAGTATTACTGTAATCCTCTTTCTTTGTAAACATGTTTTGTTTAATTTGTAATTTTAATCAATAATTAGTATTAAAATTCACACTGTGATAAATTGTTACACTTCCAGATCTTGTAAAGTGTTCCAGATGTGTTCAAACATATGTTACATTTGACTATCAAAAAAACAGGGTTTCTCCCTAGTTTATCTCACCCTCTGTGATTCGCAGAATGGTTACAAATGGAACAGGTCAGGCAGGCAGGCAGAGGGAACGGGGGGGTTGGGCGGTGGAACTGTTACCTGTCCTGGATAAAGCGGTTAGAAAATAGATAGATTTACACTTGTAAAAAACGTTCCAATTTTAATGCGATACGGAAGATATTATTGATAATAAATGACATTGGATGGTCTGTAAACTTAACATTTTCTTTCCAGCTTAGAATTAACTTTTACTTTATGTAATGCAGCTCCATACTTCTCACAAAGGCTAGGAGTGTTAACACCCCGCTGTGTAATGTTATGTAGAATAGACAGTTCTGGGGGAATTTTCAGTAGCATGCTCTGTTGTCATTATCACTGTTTTCACAACCTTCATTAAACGTCTGTTATAGAGACAGCTTTGGCAAAATCTATGGATACTTTGCCCTTGAGCTGTGAAGCTTTTAGATTCTTTGGGTCCTTTATGCAGACCTCTCAACTGTAGGAGCACCCATTATTTAAAGGATTTAAAAAAACTTTGGCTTTCAATACAATGTGAGTGTAACTTCATGCATTCCTTCTCATAGCACTTTACACTTAGTTTAAACTACTGAGTGAACTAGGTTTAATACAGACAGCAAGGGGCAGTTCTTTAGCCAGTTGTGGGTCAACTTCAACAACTGTACAACTGTGTTTTTGATCATTTTACTTGGGCTTCTTTAAAAAAAGCAGGATAAGGTCCTCACTCACACTTGCAGTATTGACTGCCCAACGCACGGAACAAACATGCTGGACAATGTTTACACTCTCTTCCGGGATGGTTACAAAGCCCTCCCCCGACCACCTTTCGGCAAATCCGATCACGCCTCCATTCTGCTACTTCCCGTTTACAAGCAGAAGCTTAAACAGGAGAGGCCAGCGTTAAGAACCATTCAACGTTGGTCGGATGAATCGGATTTTATACTAAATAACTGTTTTGCTATCACTGACTGGCAGATCTTCCGCGAAGCTGTCGAAAATAATATCAATCTGTATACGGACTATGTTACTGGCTACATCAGTAAATGTATTAAAGACGTGGTTCCCATGATTAGTGTTCGCACATATCCAAATCAGAAACTGTGGATAAATGGTGAGATACTGTACGCGCCAAACTGAAAGATAGGA